GCAATAGTTACTTTTACTAGTAACTAGTTACTTTTATTGTGGAGTAACTCAGTTAGTAACTCAGTTACTTTTTGGGAGAAGTAACTAGCAACTATAACTAATTACTTTTTCAAAGTAACGTGCCCAGCACTGCTGGTGAACTGTAAAGTGCCTTGAGATGACTTGTGGTGTGAATTGGAGCTATAGAAATGAACTGAATTTAATTGAATTGAACTTCTTTAGATTACGAACTATGTACCAAAAGGTTAACACGAAATGAAAAAATTAGACTCTAAAAGACTAAATTTATATTCAAATCTAAAGCCCAAAAAATGTGCTCCCGAAAATGTAAGAAAAAGGTAAAGGATCCCATTTCCTGTACAGATTAGGCACAGAGTGATAAAACAGAAAAGATTTTAAGGCATTTATTTTTTCAGGAAATGCATTATTAACCTTTAACCGCGCTCGGACTGGGAATCTATGATAGCGGGCATTTGCACGGTGGGCCGGTCCCTAATGTCAGCATGTGAGGGCCGGTCCTCCTAAAATCATACCGGCTCCAACTCATCCTCTCCGGCTGAAGATCCAACCTGTGACAGTAAATAACTCAAGGAGCTCTAGAAGTAATCCACCTGTTGACCTGTTAACCACCTAAATGATGCATGCAGTATATACAGCCCTGCCTTGTCATGCACTTCTTACTGATGGTTGGCATATGGTGTCTTTTTCTATTTCTTCAAACTGTAAAATCTTATTTCTTCAAACTGTAAAATCCTTGCAACAAACTAAATAATAATGAAACTAAAATTCTTTCTTTAAACCAAACTATGATTTTCATCTTATATTTGGCAAATTTATGTTTGAATGTTTTGCAGAAATATGTTGCGGTGAATGATGGGGTTTTTGCATCTAAAGGCTAACGTTTCCCATCTTACGTGCATTGTTGCCAGGTTGGGATGTTTCTTTACTTTTTGGGGGGGTCTCTTAGTGGGCCGGTGTAGGGTGAAAAATGGAAGGGCTGAAAATCGTTCCCAGACCGAGCCTGCCTTTAACACATTATATTTTCCTTAGTATTTCTGGGGAGGGGAAAACTTACTTTAGGGTTAATCAAGGGTGAGCTTCATATATATCTGTTGATGAGCTGATGGGACGGATCGGGTCGTGACAAAGTTGATGGCAAAAAAATAAATAAATAAATAAATAAAAAATGGGGTCTAAATATGTTGAGCTGCAGGTTCAAGGTTCATTGTTGGATCGAGGCCTCATTGCAACACAGACATTTGTTCAGGGATGGCTACCAGCAGTTACAGCTGTCCTTTAAAGCCTATAGATCAAACAATGTATTTAAATTAAAAAATGACTTGAAAATGTTCCACATTTGACTTAAACAGTTGCTTTGATTTGCAATTTTACAGAAAACATATAATTTTTCTGTAACCCCTAAATATGACGGTTCCTTTGACACCAAAGCTGAGGAAACTACAAAACGGTAGAACATGTTTCCATGGACTGCCTGTTTAGAGGTCATCAGAGTAAAGCCGTGTGTTTTATTCTTACCTTCCTGTATGGATCTGAACTTACACTGGATTTCCCTGCTATTAATATTTGTGTTAACTTTTTGTTTGTTTGTTTTATCCACAGCCATTTAGCAATGGCCCGTCCAAGTCGACTGTGCCGCCACCAGTTCCCAGCAAACCTAAACCATCCCCAGCTCCACCAACCTTCTCCAAGCCTGAGTTTTACACAGGGACCTTCCCTGGTAAAAAGAAACTGTATGGCAGTCAGCTGAAGGATACATCGGTCCTGTCCAACAGCAGCCTTCCTCTCCATAGCAACAGGGGAAGTTCTCCCGCGGTCGCTGTGCGTCCATACACACCAGAACCCACGGATGGCCCTCCTCCTGAGTTACACAAACCGAAGACTCTGGCAGGTTCATCCATTTTCTGGATGTACACCCAGCAGGCAAGCCCTGGTAAAGCCCAACAGGCAAACGGCCAGGGAACACTGCCCAGCAGCAAGCCCAAAGGTGAAACTTCACAAAATTTATATTTCATTTTGGTGCTGTTGAATTATTATGCCAAAAAATATAATTTCAACAATCATTAAATCATCATTAAAAAATGACTGCATGGGGCGTCTGGGTTTCCTCGGTCCTGAAAAGGACATGAGCTTAATCTGGGAAGACACAGGCCCTCATGGGTCCACCCATCTTCATATTCCACTCATGGCTGTGATTAGGGTTGCCAAACGTCCTTTGAAAAACAAAATCGTTCTGTATTTAGAAATAGGAGTACCTGTCCCGTATTTAATGGAAAAGGAACACACTTTGTCCCGTATTTAAAAATATTGTCAGTAAAAAGCTAATTGAAAATAAAGAACAAGGGCACGTTAGAAACAAAACTTACGGTAAACTTGTTCCTGGGCCGTGTCCTGCGTTATGACCAATGAGCACAACATATATGTAACGATCCAGAATCCCCTCATCCTCACAATGATTTGTTTTATTTTCTGTTTTACAACTGTAGCCTACAGTCTTTGCATTTTAAGGCACAAATAGGTTTTCAAATTTGCAAAAGTTTGCTGTTGCACCAAAAATGTGCACGATTTATTTATTGTTGTATATTAATTTTTACACTTTGAAGTTCAGCAGGACAGATTTATGTCTAAGGTGCTTATTTTATTCAGCAAAATTTGTAATTTTGTATTAAAATGAATTGCTGGATTAGAGTTTGTTTTCTATGTGTTCATGTCACTCACAAATATCCATCTAGTTCAATGCAGATTTGAGTCAAATAGTTAAAAAAATGATTTCACACAAAAAGGGGGGCTAAAAAAATCACCACACCAGGAGGGGTGAAGGCATTCGGCTCAGCTGGCACGCACATGAGGCGTCCCTTTATCTTTCAGGGAGTTGGCAACCCTAGCTGTAAGGTACCACACCCAGTACTCAACAGTACGAAAGTTTGCTGCCATGCTAACATCGCCTTAAACACTAGGATTATTTACCAGGAGTTAAACCTGAGGCCATTGATGTAAGCTCTCCTTAACCTTGAGTTAAATCTCATGCTCTGATTGGTACACACACTGTAATATTATGGTGAAACGCAGTATTACCCCACCTGCCTCTAATTACGGTAGCAGTAATGCTGCATTATCACCAGGCGCGTTCTGGAGGTCAAAACATTTAGTTTACGGGGTTACGGCATCGCGAGGTCCAGCGGCGCATCTGAGCATCAGCAGAGGCACATTTGAGCGTTTGACATTGGAGCTCAGTAAATTGAACTTTTGCCGCTGCATGCAGGAGCGTCAACCAATTAGAAAAGCAGCTGCGAACGTCAGCAGGAAATCCCCCTCAGGCTGACCTTAGCAGAGAGCTTTCAGTGGGGATTCCCAGCGCTGCCTCCCAGCAGATTGCTGGAAGTCTGGAGCTCCCAAGAAGAACTGCAGATTATAGTGAGATTATAATCCTGATGAATTGATGAACAGAAGGTGTTTGGAGGTGGACTTTCTCACTTAAAAACTATTTTTCCAACTCATTAAGTAAATAAAGCCAAGGTGCTCTCTAGCTTGAAGCTACAGAACAGAGCAGATAAACAACCAGAGCGTCAGAGCATCTGGACCAGTTTGATCAGATTTATGCATTCGCGTAGAACACCTTTGGTGTCAATTCAGCATTAAGCTGGAAGTGCTGTGGCTTTGCAGTTTACTGCAGTTAGTCCATGTATAGGTTAATCTGGACTATAAGGAGAAAATGAAAAGCTTTTAAGAGCATTTTAAAATGTGGGAAATACATGAATAGACATATTGTTTAAATGTATTATTCAAAATGAGGGTCCAGGTGCATGAATGTTATGCTCCTTATTGGAAGCTCTGAGAGATGATGGGTGAAATTAGAAACTCTGAATGAAGGTAAGTTCTTTGGGATCAGTGTTTCTGAATTTGAACTAAACTCTATTAGAATTCATCTTGTTGAGAAACACATTTCCAGAATCACACTGTTCCTGAAGGATTGGAGTTTGACATCTGTGAATTAAATGATTACATCCTTATTTAAAGAAGATCAGGTTTTTAATAGACTGATTCAAATGTCTCTCCTCTGTATTTCCTCCCATGCAGCGTATGGTAAACCTGTCCCTTCTGCTGACGGGAAGCAGCAGAGGGTCAGCTCAGGCACATCTGGGCTCTCTGACTTTAATGAGGGCGAGGCCGATGACAGCTTATCTGCTGCCACTGATGACAAAGCTGTCGAGGCTGAAACTCCTCGTCCTCTCAGTCCCTCCAAGCTCCTCCCCTTTGTGTCCGACCCTCATAGGAACTCTGATGTTGATTCGGAGGGATTCCGCCGCCGACTGCAGCACGCCCCCCGCCCCTTAAAAAAACGCAGCTCTGTTGTGGAGCCTGAAGGCCCCATTGGACCTAACATCCAGAAGCTTCTATACCAGAAGACAACTCTGGCTGCCATGGAAGCCATCCCTATGGAGACTATCAGTGCACCAGGGGAGAATGGTCCGGTCATAAATCCTGACAGCAGGATTGTCAGGAACGATGTCAGTTCTAGGGTCAAAGAAAAAAGCTTAGCTGGCATAAAGCCCAGCGACGGTCTGACATCACCACTGGCCCCCCTTCCCGCCTTCCCGGAGCCCAGCTATTCCCATTCCCAAGACATGGAAGAAGAGGAAAATATGCCATGCACCTTTAATAAAGATAGCTTCCCTCATCCCAGCTGTGGGGAGAAAGAAAAGGCAGATGGTGTCCTTAGCTCTGAGCAACCAATACCCCAAAGTACAGACCCACCTGTAAGTAGCAGCTTCAAGTTTGCTTTAGTTTCCAGAAAAAAGATGTTGAAGACATAAGAATTTCTAAAAGTAGAATGGGAGGCAGATCTTTTAGTCATCAGGCTCCTCTCCTGTGGAACCAACTAC